CAGAGCTGTCTAATGGGAATATAATGTGGGTCACATATGTCATTTGCAGTGCCAGCTAGGGGGCCTGGGAAGAGAGGGGCAGTAAGCATTTTTATTGCATCATAAAATCTACCACAGGGCCCATTATATTCTCTTTCTCTACTAACCTAAGAAAGCGTAAGAATTGGTATGAAAAAGCAGAAGAAACTGTGAGGATACCTAATAAATGTGGAGTTAAACAAGTCAAATTTATCAAGCAAATGCAATTTTTGAGAGCTTAAAAAAGAATTGGCATCTGGGTTGTACCAGGACACAAGACCAGACGCCTTATCGTAGGAAGAGTTATACGAACCAAATCTATCAAGGATCTGGGGGAAGAGCTTCAGGGAAGGATCAGTAAAGATTTAAAAAAGGAGAGTAATGAAATGTTAAAACATTTTGTAGTAAAATTACGTTTCAAATCTAACGTCACTGTTCCTTTTTGTCTTACATCAATGTCCATATCAAAATTTTTTCAAAATGGTTGCTGAGTTGTGACATATTTTAACACCACAAATATTATATGACTTACAGAATTAGGGCCAAGCCAATGAGAAAGAATGACATCTGGCCACGTGTAGCAACATGGATGGACCTTGAGGGTGTTATGCTGAGCGAAATAAGTCAGGCAGAGAAGGACAACTAGCATATGTTTGCACGTATAGGAGGATTAGGAGGAACTTGACGGAGGAACAAGGGGGAGAAGAAGGGCGGAAATGGTGGGGGAGAGGGAGAGAGGCAAACCATGAGAGACTCTTGGACTGATGGTTGTCGGGGGAGGAGGAGGGAGATGGGCATGGAGGAGGGCACTTGGGGGGATGAGCACTGGCTGTTATATGGAAACCAATTTGACAATAAACTAGTTGTAAAAATTAAAAAAAAAAGTTGACTCGAAAAACAAATAAAAAGAAATCAGATCACCAAAAAAAAAAAAAAAAAAAAAAAAGAAAGATTTAGGGCCAAGCCACTTCACATATTACATTACAAAAGAGTTCATCAGAAATAATTTATGGGGGGCCGCCTGGGTGGCTTAGTCGGTTGGGCGTCCGACTTTCGCTTGGGTCATGATCTCGCGGTTCGTGGGTTCGAGCCCCGCGTCGGGCTCTGTGCTGACTGCCGGCTCGGAGCCTGGAGCCTGTTTCAGTCTGTGACTCCCTCTCTCTCTGACCCTCCCCTGCTCACGCTGTCTCTCTCTCTCTCCTAGAAATAAATAAAACATTAAAAAAAAAAAAGAAAGAATTTATGGGCCCAGCAAGCTGGTAGTCACACCGAATCGTGATCAGGAATTTGTCCTCCATCTCAGTAGGAAAATAGACATAAAGACAGTGACTAGAATGAGCAAAAGGGAGTCTGCAGCAAAAGACTGTTGGAAGACATTTTTTTCCGAACAGTATAAATCATTTCTGTCTGCACTCTGTTGTTGATGAAGCCCTTAAAAAAGTAAAGGTAAATAAAGGACAGCATCCACCAAAACAAAACAAAACAAAACAAAACAAAACAAAACAAAAGCCTATCTCATGGGACAGAAGAAGAGGAGGAGGAAACAGGGCCAGGTAAGCATAACACATCAAATGTCATTCACAGTATCAAGCAACCCAAGTCAGAGAGCTAAGGAAAGAGAAAACTCAGCTGCTTCCGGAAGTCTTGGGTTGTAAGGACTAATGTAGGTGCTGAAGACATGACCAACACAATACAAACCAACTACATAAAAACTACAAGAAAAATCTGTACAAACGGTGTTGTCAAGGGATGAGAAAGCTCTTTGGCCTACTTATTCCTAATTGTCTAATTCTCACATCAGCATTTTATTTTATTTTATTTTTTTAAATGTTTTATTTATTTCTAGGAGAGAGAGAGAGAGAGAGAGAGAGAGAGACAGCGTGAGCAGGGAAGGGTCAGAGAGAGAGGGAGTCATAGACTCTGAAACAGGCTCCAGGCTCTGAGCTGGCAGTCAGCACAGAGCCCGACGCGGGGCTCGAACCCACGAACCGCGAGATCATGACCTAAGCGAAAGTCGGACGCTTCACCGACGAAGCCACCCAGGCGCCCCTCACATCAGCATTTTAAAAAGAAAGCTGTACAGAAGGGCAGCTAGAGAGACATGTCAGGGCAGCTGCAAGGTTTCCCCAGAAGCAGTATCCCTCCAAAATGTGACATGACAGTGAGCCCTTGGTCTAAGTCTGTATCAGTACCTGATTCATTCTTTTTTTTTTATTTAATTTGACATTTTTTTTCTTGTTTAAGAATTAGTAGTTTAAAAACTACCATGAGGGGTGCCTGGGTGGCTCAGTCGGTTGAGCGTCCGACTTCAGCTCAGGTCATGATCTACAGTCTGTGGGTTCGAGCCCCGCGTCAGGCTCTGTGCTGACAGCTAGCTCAGAGCCTGGAGCCTGTTTTGGATTCTGTGTCTCTCTCTCCCTCTGACCCTCCCCTGCTCACACTCTCTCTCAGAAATAAATAAAAGCATTAAAAATGAAAAAAAAAACTACCATGAATTTCAACAAACCCCTTTGTCCATCTTCTGGTTTTATTGGGAATACAAGCCTTAGAGAAGTAGTTCTCAAACTTGAGAGTACGTCAGAATCTCCTGGAGGGGCTTGTTGAAACTGTGCGGAGCCACACCCACAGAGTTTCTGAGTAAGCTGTGAAGCAGAAGCTTTAAGATCTAGTGTGTGGTCCCACCCTTGCTCCTTTTGTTCTGATATGACACCAGGAATGTCTCAGAGGGGGTCTCTTCCTTCAGCCTGGGTCCCAGACAGGAGAACCAAAGCTGACCCCCGATGGACATAAATGTAAGTGGGGAATAAACATTTGTTGTTATAAACAACTGAGACTTTGGGATTGTTATTGTAGCATAATTTAGTGTTACTAATACAGAATCCTTGTATTGAATAAGCATACTCAGCCTTGAGTAGCAGATTTGGCTTTGCAAAGAAAAATAAAATAAATGGAAAGGCAGATAATAACCCATTTTGGTTAGGCTTGTTTTGCATATGTGTGCATGTGTGTTATTAATATATACACCAAGAGCTATGTGACCTTGTGCAAGCTACTTAACCTCTCTGCCCACACATGTGAACAGCAAATAGGGTGAGGGTCATCTGCTTGTGTTGTCTGTTAACCAGTAAGTCTGAACCAAGATCACTTTGTTCAAAGATGCTTCAAAGAATATCATGCTTTTGCAAGAAGTAAGATGAGATGCAAAGTCAATCAGATGATTTGAAAGAGAGAGAGCGAGGGAGAGAGGAATGAAGTAAGGAAACTAAAATCTCAATAATAGGATTTAAGTAAAAACAGAAGCAGAAATAATGCCTTGGGAAACCTTATCAGTAATATTGAAGGCCAATTTGAGTTCTACAGATGCCAAAAAAAAAGGATACAGAGATGAAAATGATACAACAGAGAACCACCACAGATAATTGCTCTTCCTAAAAGAGAGACCAGAACAGATGGAGCAGGAATAATTCTTGAAGGCAGAGTAGAAGAAAACCTTCCTGGGCTAAAGCCATATATAAGCAGATAAAAAGGTCTCACACCTCTTAACCAGACAGAAGGGACAATCCGTGCAAGGACTGGAACCAAAAGCCATATTCGTCTTAAACTGCAAATACTTCAGTACAGCCAGGATATTGAGTACAAAGAGGAGGGAGGCTAGAGAGGTTAAGTATGAACCAGATGATGAAAGGCCCTATGGCTGAGGACTTTTCTCTGCAAAGCAGTAGGCAAAATCATGTATGAAGAGAGTGTTTTAAGGTGGTGGTTTGGTGTTATGATGTGTCAAAGGGCAATTCAAGGGGGCTCTGCTTCCAAGAGTGGTTGAAGTGAAAGGCTATGGACTTAAGTCAGGTAGAAGGTTCAGGGGAACCTTGAGCTCTGTGACCTCTGTGGCTTTTGAAGAACAAGTACACTGGGAATAAAGGATAGATAAGACAGCAAAGATGAGGAGTGTTGAGTCCAAATAAATAGGATTTGAAAACTTAAGACTTCAGAGATGGAGCAGTATAAAGTGATGAATGTCTAGATTTTCTAGAATACGTGCCAGGGAGTGGGTGGATAAGTAGAGTAGAGGTAAAGTCATTTGGGTTGAGGAAGTTAAGGAAACATGGCTCAGTCATGGGCTTTGGACTCACTAGGATGATGGCTGTAATTCAATTCAGATGGAGACGAAAATTCTAATGCAGTCAGCTGGCAGTGACAAGGGAGGGTAAAAGGTGATACTACCAGATGAGGTGGACCCTGAAAAAGAAATCTTGCCAGGGATAAAAAACATATCAAAGCGTCAAGTGAGAACTGCTCGTAGAGTGAGGACATACTACCTTTGGGGCTGGTGGATGGAGTATAGGAGGAAAGAAATCAAAAATGCAGACAAAGATGAGTCAGTATTTTGAATTGGATAATGTGGAGATGTTGGTACCATTAACCTGTTTGGGAGGTCCAGAGGGGGGGTTTTGTTTTCTGGATTCAAACTTAATTTGAGGCCACGGGGAATGGTTAGAGACTGAACAGGCAGGGAGAGGCTACAGAAGTGCAGGTTCAGATGGGCTGGTTCTGGAAGGGCCTCGAGGGCCAAGCCAGGACCTGGAAGGCCGAGACTCATCTGCTCCACCACCTTTGCCTCCTGTGTACAAGGCTGGAAGGCCCAAGGTACCAAGCTCCTGCCCCCGGCTGAGGGATAAGCTCCAACCCTCAGGGTTCCAGAACCTGGAACGCCGGCTTCTTTCCCCGTGGACAGGAAGCAGACGGCGCATGCGCCCTGGGCAGAGCGGCAGCGATGGGAACGGCCGCCAGAGGGCGCCGGAGCTCCGGCCGGTGCAGCCCGGGCGAGGCACCCTCGCGGGCAGGGAGTTGAGAGCAGGGGTTGGTGGGAGAGCCGGCCAGCGCGAGGCCGCAAACGGTGGGCGGGGCCAGGGTGGGGGCGGGGCGAGGCGGTTCCGGAAGGAAGTGGTTCCGGGTCCCGTGGTCCGGTGGTGGTAACTGTGGTGTCGCTCTTGTGGGAGGTGGCGACCGTGAGAGGGGCGAGGCCCGAGGGGCTGGCGGCGCGGCGGCAGCGGCGGCGGCGACGGGGTTGGTGGCGGCGGCAGGGACTTCCCGGCCGGGTGAGCGGCCTTCGGGGGGCGGGCGGGGCGAGGAGGCCCCGGCCCGCAGGGAGGGCGTGTCCGTCGCTAGGGAGGGGCGGTCTTGGGGCGGCGGGTGGGGCGGTGGGTAGCTTGCGCGGGCAGGCCTCGGACTCCCGGGGGACCGCTCCCCTCCCACCGCCTTAGGCCAGCTGGGCTGGTGCCTTTTCCAGCGTGGAGACCCCGGCAGCTGCGGCCGCGGTCCTGACCCTCTCCCGTCGTCCGGCAGGCTGCGGCCCCGGCGGTTCGGAGCGACTGTCATGGGGACTGAGGGTTGGTGTCCAGGGACCGTGCCCTTGTCCCTGAGTCGGACTGGGACGCGTAGCCTGCGGGACCCGAGCCGAGGAGACCCTGCTTTGTCCTCCGGAGGCTCTCCAGCCGCGCAGCGGCATCTTCTTCTGGTAACGTCCAGAATGAGTCGTGAAGGATGCTCTTTATCTTGCATTGCAAAGTAAAACTTGTGTTTTTAGAAACGTTATCTTGAAAATTGTCGCATCTCCTGTGGTTTTCTATGGTGTATGAGGAAACTGGGCCAGTCACTGTCAGGATTGTCGTATCGGTAAGTCGGGAGGAAAAGAAATGGGAGAGAAACTTATTCTCCCAAATATTTTCTTGCCGAGGCGCTTCTCTAGCTGCTCCCTAGGTGATTGCTGCTTTTTTTCTGGAACAAAGTAAAAACTACGGGTAGAAATGACGAAGGTCTGTCTGTCTGACTTCTGGCCCAGCAGCATTTTTAGCATTTTTCTGAATGAGAACTGTATGAATGAAGGACTGGAAAGAAAAGGAAAGGTTTTGGTGGGGATCCATAATGAGTGCTTTATTTTTCAATGGTGTTTTAATGGTTATGATAATAATGCTTTATTTTTAAATGTTATTCTTAAAAATAGCTACTAAAACGTTCTTTTGAAAGTCCCTGCTGTTGTTTCACAGCCCCCCCTCAAAACCTTACTAGAAATATTTATATATAGAAACATTTAGTGACATTTGTGTATTTACAAAATTTCTAAAAGTTGTAAAAGCATGATGAAGATACAGTTTCATCATTCCAAGTAACCGTTATGAATATGGTTACACTGGGTATACATCTCCCGTTGTCTTTCTGTGCAGAGATGAGTGTATGGGTTTTTCTAAAGTGGATTCTCTTTTGTAACCTTTTTTCCCCCCTGACTTCATAGCATGCCATTACATGGCTGTAATCATTTATTTAGTTGGTTATCCCGTTTTACACTACTTGAACACATTGTTGAAGAAATGTAAAATCTGCACAGCCATGATTACTTCTTAGTGTACATTCCTAGATGATAGAATTGTTGGGTTTGTCTTTTTAAAATGTAAATTGCTCAGTTTCCCTCTGGAAAGGATGTGTGATTTTGCCCTCCCACTAGCAATCTGTGAGTATCTTTTTCTACACCCTAGCAAAAGACAACATTTAAAGGATTTCCACTGGCTCACTTTTGGGCCATGTTTGTTCTCTCCAACCGAGTACAAGTATCATTCTCTAGCTATCCCTCCTCCCACCCCTCTTAAATTTGTTTTTAGCAATTCAGTTTCTCATCTTTTATTCCACCTTTAACAGTTCAGTAAAGAAGGTTTATGCAGGTGAGGCAAAGGCGTCATAGAGTGAACAAGAGATTTGAACTCTGGACTTAACTTAAATTCCAGTGTCTCTGATTACCTTGAACAAGTCACTTATAAGGGAGTGTTTCCTCAACCCTAAAGTCAATATTGTAGTGCATTTGCCTTACATTTCTTACAGGGTGGTTTTCAGGGGCAAATGAGACACTTATGGAAAGTACATTTAAACATACTTTGTCTAGTGGTCAATTACTGCTATCTTAGAAAAATTTCAGGGCACAAAAGCATCTTGATTTTTTAAAGTAAATTTCTGAATTCAAAAAAGCCATCATGTGATACTATTTGCCCCACACTCTGTCACTTCTTAAATTTGAAGTTTGATATTTCTGTCCTAGATTATATCAGAATGCTCTCAGAGTTACGGAATTAGGTGAATGGATGAATCTACACAAATGTTGAAGGAGGAAGTATTTAAAGGTGCTATATATAAAACTGAGGGGGAAGATATATAAAGCTAAATAAAACACAATCCTTGGGATCGTGATAAATAAAACATAGTCTTTGTGCCTTACAGGCTACCGAATGTCCAGGCAACTAGAAGGCGGAAAAGCTGTTTTCCAAATTTAGACGGCAATTTTTGATGTGATGCAGGATGTCAACTGTTCTCAAGCGTGCTAAAGTCCAATTCTGCTGACCGAGCATCTGCACAAATGACCAGGCACTCTTGTCTGGGTCATCTTTCTGAAGGTAGGAATTGCAAGTTGGAGAAGTGTTAGTATTGGAGTCTGAGAATCTGGATTCTGGTTTCAGGTCCTTCACTTGGGGCAGATTGGTTAGCTTCTTTGCGGCCTGTTTTTTTCGCCTGTGAAATGAAGGCAATTCTGGCTTCCTTGGGAGCTGGTTTCGAGGATTAAGTGAGATATTTGCAGGACATTAGGGAACATGAGGTCTTTTTTATCCACTAAAAACTTAGCATCTCGAGGAAAGAAAGTAGATCTCTTTTCAACTTTGTGTGCCTGCCCCCTACTAGTCATTGGCACTTAGTAATGTTTGCTAAATTAACATAAAATATGGCTGCTGATAAAAATTCGCTCTGGACCATTGAAGAAGGAAATATGTAAATGTGGGATATTGAGACAAATTGACTACAATATTTGGAGTTGATATGAAGGAATCAAGGGAAACACTGAACTCGTTGCCCCTAGGTTCATCTCTACTGTGACTGTCATTCTGTGTTATATCCCCAATGCCAGGCTCATAGTCTATCCACATCAACACTAAACCTGTTATTCCCTAGGATCCCCCCCTCTCCCCCAGGCACAACCCAGTTTCTCTCCTCCCCTTGTAGTCAGCTTATTAGAAGGGGTTGTTAATAATTGGCTTTCTTAAGTCTCCTTACCTTCCACTTAGTCCTGAAGCCATGTGTTCACATTTTTTGTTCCTTTTATTGGATCTCTATGCAGTTTTTGCCATGAAAGTCTTCTTTCTTGAAGTCTCCTTGGCTGGTTCATCTTTCTCAAGAGTTTGATGTTCTTGTAAGCTTGATCCTGCTCATGATACACCGGGTCTGGAATAATTTATAGAATATTGAAGCTGTCTGGTGTTTGAAGGTTTGGTAGAATTCTCCTGTGAAACCATCTGGGCCTAATGCTTTTTCATGGATATTTCTTTATTTTTTTTTTTTTAACGTTTATTCATTTTTGAGAGGCAGAGAGACAGAGTGTGAGCAGGGGAAGTGCAGAGAGAGAAGGAGACACAGAATCGGAAGCAAGCTCCAGGCTCTGAGCTGTCATCACAGAGCCTGATCTGGGGCTCGAACTCATGAACTGTGAGATCATGACCTGAGCTGAAGTCAGCTGCTTAACCAACTGAGCCACCCAGGCGCCCCTCCTGGATATTTCTTTAATAACTTTATTTCTTCTATGAAAATTGGTCTGTTTAAGCTTTCTAACTCTATTGGGGTCAGTTTTGATACTTTGTGTTTTTCTAGCAAATTACTTTTTTCATCTGGGTTTTCAAATTTATTAGGTGGAGAACCACAAAGTAACCTTTTCTGATTTAAAATTTTTTCTTCCATTTCAATGGTTGTTTCTCCCTCATTCTGTTTTATTTTTGTATATTTGTGTTTCCCCCTTTTTTTCTTAATCATGTTATATAGTGGTTTCTCTCTTTTAATTTTTTCAAAAACTACAGAATTTTCAATTATTACTTAGATCTAGTTTTCTGTTCTCTTGCTCATTCTCTTCCCCTGTTTTTAGCTTTATTATTTCCTTGTGCTTTCTTTTGGTTTACTTTATTTTTTTTTAGTTTTTTTAAACCTTGGAACAATTTATTTATTTTTATTATGTCATTTTCATTGATAAATATGTTTAGAGCAGGGTGCCTGGATGGCTCAGTGGGTTAAGTGTCTGACCCTTGATGTCAGCTCAGGTCTTGATCTCACGGTTCATGAGATTGAGCCCCACCTCACACTTTGCTCTGACAGCGTGGATTCTCTCCCTTTCTCTCTGCTCTTCTCTTGCTCACATGCACACATGCAGTCTCTCTCTCTCAAAATAGATAAACTTAAAAAATAAGTTTAGAACAACAAATTTTTTTTTGATCACTACTTTAAATGCATTCCATAAAATCTGATAGGTAGTGCTTTCATTGTCATTCTAGGTGGAAGGGCTTTGCTGTTATTTTTGTTAGTAAATTCTAGGGATTTTTCGTTATGATCAGGGGATATTGTTTGTAATATTTCTATTTCATAGCAGTTGCTGATGTTTTCTTTGTGATGTAATTATATGAGTACTTCTTGTGAATGCGGCATGGGCGTGTGAGAAGGTATATTCTCTAGTATTAGGGTGTAGAATCTGATAAATATCTTTAAGATTTACTCTGTTGATTATGCTGTTTAGATCTTCTGTCTCCTTATTTTGGGGTCACTGAATTTTCTCATATGCCACTGAGAGTGGATAATTAAAGTCCTCTAATATTAATGGGTTTCTATCTATATGTCACCTTGCATCTCAAGTAGTTTTTGTTTCATAAAGGTGGTTGCTATGTTAAATTCATATGAATATGTGTATTTTTATGTGTGCTGTCTAAATCATAGATTGTGGCTTTCAGTATTAAAGAGTATCTTTGGGTGGGGGTGCCTGGGTTACTCAGTTGGTTACGCGTCCGACTCGGTTTTGGCTCAGGTCATGATCTCACAGTTTGGTTGAGTTTGAGTCCCCCACGTCAGGGACTCTTTCTCTCTCCCTCTATTTCTGTCCCTCCCCTGCTCACATTGTCTCTGTCTCTCTCAAAATAAATAAACTTTAAAAATTTTTTAAGTGAGTTTTGTTTTGTTTTGTTTTGTTTTGTTTTGTTTATTTGGTCACAACGAGTGCTTTGGGGCTTGAATTCTGCTTTGCCTGACTCCACACATGCCACTCTGCTCGCTCTTTGTTACCGATTGCCTGGTATACTTTGGCCATCCTTTCATTTTTAATGTTTCACCATCACTTTGTTTTAGATGTGTCTTTTGTCGAACTCTTTGTGTTTTGTTTTGTGAGCCACATCGAAACTTTTTATGTTAATAGGTGAGTTAAAACCATTCACATTTAGTGTTAGGACTGATATATTTGGCCTCAACTCTATCATAATATTTGGTTTTATTTGCTGTTTTTTTTGCTATGAGGTGTATTTTTTCCTCTTGTATTAGAAAAATTGGGAAGCAGTATTTTAGAAGGTTTTTATTTTTGTTCTAATGGTTTACTTTTGTCCTTACACCTTTGTAAATGCCCTTACTCCCCTCTTTGTTTATTTAACCTTTTGTGTGTGTGAGAAAAATACATCGTATTCATGAAATCAGAGTAGGTTAATGATAGGCCTCTGTGAGAGTCTTTATCTGCTTGCAGTTCCTCGCTGAAGAACTGACGTGGCCAGCGGAGCCCAGAGCGTAATGCGTGTTTGGCTTCCTCTGACCTGCTGATCCCCGGCTTGTTCTGTGGCCTCTGGCCTGGTACTGTTCTGTGCTGAGAGTGCGGCTTCTTTGTTGCAAAGGCTTCCCGGGGTATTCTTTGCATTTGGAAATGCTGGGATCCTATTTAGTATGAAAGTGTTGTCAGTGGGTTTTGTTGTATACATCTTTACTGAGATATAATTACTATACCACACAATTCACCCGTTTAAAAGTGTACAGTTTGGTGTGTGGGTTTTTTTGGTAATTTAGAGCTGTGCGGCCATCACCACAGTCCACCTTTGAAAAATTCATCGTCCCCAGAAGAAACCCCACGTGCATTCTCTCCAGTGCCCTCCACCCCACCCAGGCAACCACCGGTCTACTTTCTGTTTCTCTGGATTTGCGTATCTTGGACCTTTCATATAAGCGGGATCATATAGTACGCGTTCTTCTGCAGCTGCCTTCTTTCCCTTAGCATAACAGTTTGAGGCTTCATCCCTGTTTGACCGTGTGTCAGTACTTAATTACATTTTATGGCCAAATAATGTTTGGTTGTATGGGTGTACTGCATTTTGTGTATTCATTTATTTCTCAGTGGACAGTGGAATTGTTTCTACTCTTAGGACTAATGCTGCTGTAAATATTTGTGTATAAGTTTTTGTGTGGACATATATTTTTATTTCTCATGGGTATATATTTAGGAGTGGAATTGCTGGGTCCTCTCGTAACTCTTGTGTTTAATTCTTTAAGGAACTGCCAGACTGTTTTCCCAAATGTCTGCATTGTTGACATTCTCCCCAACAATGTACGTGGGTTCCATTATCTCTCCACACTTTCAGCATTTGTTATTATCTGTCTTTGATTATGGCCATCTAGTTGATCAGCACAGAACCTGATGCGGGACTTGAACCCATGAACTGTGAGATCGTGACCTGAGCCGAAGTCAGACGCTCAACCGACTGAGTCACCCAGGTGCCCCCATCCTCATCTTTTTTTAATGTCTTATACGTACATTTATGTATTTTTAAATGCTCACCATTGGTCCTTTGCTGTCATTTTCTCAGTCATAATTTGGTTGGATGAAGCTCATCTTCTAGTAGGTTTCTCAGGAAGGGCTAGTTAAATGCAGAAATTCCCTATTCGTGTATGCTGAAAACTTTTTTTTTTTCTGTAGCCCTGATACATGAAGGTAATTTGATATAAAATCCTTGGTTCACACTTACTTTCATTGATTTTATTTTTTTATTTTAAATGCTGACCCACTGTTGCTTTGCTTTGTGTGTTAGTTTTGAAATATATGATAGTCAGTTCTTTGGAATTAGAAGTTATTTATTCTTTTTCCCTAGAGATCTTGAGGATTTTATCTTTATATTTGAAATCAAATAGTTTTTACTAGGCTATGTGTCAGAACTGATTGTTTTAAGTTAATTTTCCTACGTATCTGGTGAGTTCTTCATTGTATAAATTCAGGTATTTTTCCATTTATGGAAAGTTTTCTTGAATTCTAATTTTAAATATTAGTTTATTTCCATTGTTTGGTTTTTCTTCTAAGAGACTACAGTCTCTTATATTAATATATATTATTCCTTCTTTACCTGTCTTCTTTTTCCACTACTTTTTCTCGGACTTGTTCTCTCTCTTACTCACTCATTGTCATTTTCATTTTTTGGTTTTCCTGTTTCTCGTTTTTTTAAAAAAACAATTTTTTAATGTTTATTTTTGAGAGAGAAACAGAGACACAGTGTGAGCAGGGGAGGGGCAGAGAAATAGGGAGACACAGAATCTGAAGCAGGCTCTAGGCTCCAAGCTGTCAGCA